CAGCAAGAGAGCCAGGAAGGGAGATCTCACTGTTGACAGTATCTGAGACATTATGGATTACTAGCTTATTTATAGAGAATGTATAAGGATGGAGGACCCTAAGGTGGGAAGAACAACTGAAGTTCCAACATGGAGCAGAACAGAACCAAAAAATCTGTCAGAAAAATGTCATCATTGGAGTCCACCAGGCCCTACCGATAACGGAAATAACACACAAATCTCTTAACATTCCTGAAAGCACAGAAGCCTCTTCTAGCTAGTAGAAATATGTGCTGATGATTCCATGGGTACAAAGAATGGGCAAGAGGTTAAGAATGGTTGGGGCTGAATCCCTACTGGATCCACCCCAAGCTCAGGAGTTGTAAAGCAACCGCACAGTGGCGTATTGGTTAGTGCTTGAACACCTTGGCACCCGTGCTACTCTTTGTCTACTCATTCCCTGTCCCACTTCCAGTGGTGTGAGACAAGAGCCACAAGGGAGGCCTCCTCAGCTAATTCGGTCCTCTACCAGGTACGTGATACTCACTATTGGAGTAGCACTGGTGTCCCCGGTTCGAATCTCAGCAAGGTCACCATCTACAAAGAGTTTGTATGTTCTCCCTGCGCTTGCGTAGGTTTCCTCCAGGCACGCTGGTTTCCTCCCCCACTAGAAAGTCCTATGCTAGGATGAGATTTCCCTCTCCTCTTATGCACTTCAAACTCAATTACCATCTGCATTTACCGCCATCCAAAGTTCCATTTCATGTCTGGCAGCAGCCGGCCAACCCCGCCGATCCCCAAATGTTTTGTATCTGAGGTATGTGCTGGCTGGCACCCTGCTCTTCACCGCGCTGCTTCTTGTCGATAGCAATAGGGCTTGTATCAATAACGGCGGCCTTTCAGAACGACCAGATAAAATGCTTTGTCTCTACTTTCCATCTCACCGAAAGATTACTATTCCTTTAGAAATCTGCAGCAAAGGCTTACGAGACACTGGGAGCACGTTGTACAAGGTACTCGAGTCTTAACCACTGAAACTTGTTTTGTTTCGGCGTTCAGATGAGAAGAATTATTACCTTTTGCTATCACAGTACTTCAAGTAGATACAGATTTAAATGTTTTAAAGCTCTATATTATTTATTAGGGATGCACCAATACTGGCTTTTCGGTATCGAGTACCGATATTTTTTTTCCTGTATTCGCCGATACCGAATACCGATACCGGAAGTCCCATTGAGGAAGCCAAGCGTCGTGTAAAGACTCGCCACCCGGCTTCCCGAATAGCAGGGAAGCCGTCTCCATGCTCCCTCTTCACCAGGTGACGAGAAAGCATGAAGCTGGCTTTCTGGCTAATCAGGAAGCTGGGCAACGCGTAATGACGCGTTGCCCGGCTTCCCGATTGGTCGAGAAGTTGGCCAATCAGGAAGCCGGGCAACGGGTCATTACACGTCCCCCGGCTGCCTGATTGGCCAGGTAAAATGACAGAGCGCGGTCAGCGCATGCTGAAGCGCACAGTGCGCAGAAGTCGCCAACTGTCTGCAGAGTCAATAGCTTCCGGGCAGTGTTATGATCTGGGGTGGCTTCAGTTGGTCAGGTCTGCTGCCTACATTGATATACGGAATGATCAGGTTTTTCTATCAATGGATTTTTCTTCCCTGATGGCACATTGGGCATATTCCAAGATGACAATGCCAGGATTCATCGGGCTCAGATTGTGAAAGAGTGGTTCAGGGGGCATGAGACATCATTGTCACACATGGATTGGCCATCACAGAGTCCGGACCTTAACCCCATTGAGAATCTTTGGGATCTGCTGGAGAAGACTTTACACAGTGCTCCGACTTTCTCATCACGGCCAACAACAAAAAATGACTCTCTCTGGCCAACAAAAAAACAGTCACACACACTAACATTTCATTGGACCACCTTTAGATTCGCTTACAGCACACATTTGCTGCGGCATCGTTTCTATAAGCTTATACAATGTCACAAGATTTATTACCACCCAGAGTTGATTTGATTTTTCCCCAAGATCTTGTAGTGATGATGGGAGAGTCGGAGCACTGTGTAAAGTCTTCTCCAGCACATCCCAAAGATTCTCAATGGGGTTAAGGTCTGGACTCTGATGTGGCCAATCCATGTGTGACAATGATGTCTCATGCCCCCTGAACCACTCTTTCACAATCTGAGCCCGATGAATCCTGGCATTGTCATCTTGGAATACGCCCAATGTGCCATCAGGGAAGAAAAAAATCCATTGATGGAAAAACCTGATCATTCCGTATATCAATGTAGGCAGCAGACCTGACCAACTGAAGCAACCCCAGATCATAACACTGCCCGAACGCTATTGACTCTGCAGACAGTTGGCGACTTCTGCGCACTGTGCGCTTCAGCATGCGCTGACCCCTCTCTGTCATGTTACGTGGCCTACCACTTCGTGGCCGAGTTGCTGTTGTTCCCAGTTGCTTCCACTTTGTTATAATCCCAGTAACAGGTGACGGCGGAATATTTAGTAGCCAGGAAATCTCACGGATGGACTTATTGCACAGGTGACAACCTATCACGGTACCACGCGTGTAGTCACTGAGCTCCTGAGAGCGACCCGTTCTCTCACCAATGTCTGTAGAAGCGTCTGCATGCCGAGGTGCCTCATCCTATACACCTGTGGCCATGGAGGTGATTGGAACACCTGAATCCAATGATTTGGAGGAGTGTCCCAATACTTTTGGCAATATAGTGTATGTTGCCGCTGGTTTTGGCCCAAAGAGGTCTTTAAGCCAACTCACTGAACCCTAATCCAGTCCCTCAAATAGGAATTTGAAATATGAGGTATGGAGGCTTTGGCAAAGCTTTGGAAAACAGAACAAAATAACCTAAATCCAAAGTGAAAGGCATATAAAATGCAAGAACAGAAACAGAAGAGCAAATTGAGTAGAGGCCTGTGCAATATGACTTAAACCCAGACTGATGTCCATGATAACAAGGAATGGAACTCGGGAGGAAAAGGACCAGGAGTCCAGGCACGGAAACATAAGCACCGAAGGCTTGGGCAAAAGACCAAAATCGGAACATATAAAGTGGGAATCTGAGCCATAAGAACTTGGCAGAGGGGATGGAAAGCAGAACAATACCATCTGGAGTCCTTGACAAAAAGACTGTAAATCAGAAACCAGATACTAAGAATTCCAAGACATGAACGTGATATCCCATCAAATGGCATTTGGATGACAGGGAATTAGGTTCTTGTCAAAGTCAACATTAGAAATGCATCATAAACGGCCAAGTACCAAAGGAACGCGTAGTACGCAGACTTGCCGAGCTGAAGTCCCAAGTTTGATTCCCACCAGACTTTCTGTTTGAAGATTGGGGTTGCCTATGCCAGTTTCCATCAACAATTCTATTGAGAGGTTAATTGGTGACCATCAAATTGGCCTTAGATGACTACCGGCCTCACAAAGTCAAATCTTGAAGCCCAAGTCCAGCCACAACTTTTTGTTTTAGTTTTGTAGAGATCTATGACCTCTATTAGATCAGAATTACTATCTATGTCCCCATTAGGGTAATTTATCATCACAAGTGATTGGATATCTCTATGATGAGGACAGAGGAAGGATGAGAACGTCTGACACATATTTACTGCTCTATGTCAGTTCCTGTCTTGGAGAAACCTCAACCAACGGCCTCTACCCAAAGAGGGACACAGACAAATACTAAACCTTAAAGCGGACCTCCGTCCTTCCCTTCAGTCCTATATCTGACCTCCGCCAGTCTTCTATCTGACCTCCGTCAGTCTTCTATCTGACCTCCGTCCTTCCCTCCAGTCTTCTATCTGACCTCCGTCCTTCCCTTCAGTCTTCTATCTGACCTCCGTCCTCCCCTTCAGTCTTCTATCTGACCTCCGTCCTTCCCTTCAGTCTTGCACAGTAGTCCCGGCTCCTCTCCTGGACTAAAATGTCTTCCTCTGATATCACTGTACACTGGGAACCTCTCACAATGTGCATCAGAAGCTGCAGCAAGTCAGACAGAGCTCCGCCTCATTTGCTGGCTGGAGCACATCCAGCATCAGTTAGCCTTTTCCTCCACAACCTGACTGTCCCTGGCCCCCGCCCCTTTCATTCATTGGATTTCCGTTCTTTCAATCATGGAGGCTCAGCATCACATGTGGGCGTTACCTAGGACAGTCTGTATGCAAATGCTGGCCTGTCTAGGAACGCCCGCTCCTCCAGACTGACATCCAGCCATAAAAGCATTATTATATTTGCATAACTCCCAACTGCCAGCCCAGGGCTGAGAGTTCCATAGGGATCCAGTGATGACATCCAGTGATGGGCCCAAAATAAGGTATGCAATGAAATGGAAAGGTTTAATTCGAAAATATAATTAGCATGTTGATGGGGGAGGAACCAGGGAAGGCAAAAATTAAGTATATTTAACTTCAGCTTTAAAGTTCTGGCTCTTTTTTTTGCTAT